GGGGGGGGGGGGAGAAGTCCAACCCTGGAAATCCTGCCCTCAGAGGACAGAGGTCCTGCCCCAGAAGTCCCAACCCCAGCACCCAGTAACACTAGGTTTCAGAAGGCCTTTTACTTTGGGCACTTGGTCCCTTAGGGTCTAGTTCTAAGCAAACAATTGCTTATGGATGATTTAATTTCCTTTCCTGTCCATCCTGCCTCAAAGGCTAAGGACAGCAACAATGATTTTAGAAAACTCAGGTACACATAGAAACATATACACAGCCTTTCATCTAAAAGCAATCAGCTGCTCAAGTGAATTTGTATCTGGAGTCCAACAACAGTTGGAATTTAAGTTGTACTAATATTGTTCTACTGCCATATTTGACTGTTTCCTCTTATGGCTGCTCAGATTTGAAATTTTTTCTTCTAGAAAAAGCTTCAAAGATTATAGGGGAAAATAATCACTCGTGTACTCCCAACCCAGCTACTGGATGCCAGAGGTAGAGGATACCTCTGCTATCATTTGCACATGGCTATTGGCCCTCAAATACTGATGCAAATATGCCTGCCTACCATGTTGTCACATGCAGTCAAAACAATAAGCTAACACCCCTCTGTGTGAAGATATCTCTGATTTGAGCCCAGAATGTGAGACAATGAGGTGCTTATGCAAAATTATCTCTTTTACTGTCAGACCTAACCTGATGCAGCACTTCTTTGTTGTTTGAAAGGCCTTTTTCATTCTACAAAAGTAAAGAGTGCACAGAAACATCAGAGAATCAGAACTGTGCAAATTGAGGCTGTTTACCAAAAAAAAAGGGGGGGGAGTTTTGCAACTTTTCAAAGAGCCACACACGTGAACCTTCTTCCTTTAAAGAATGCCAGCAAACAAAGCTCCCTCAGTGGTATACCTGCTAATGATCTCAACGTCAGATAATCATTTTTAGGGGCTAAGGATGGGAAGTTATACTTAGCTCATCTATTATTAATCCAAATGGGAAGACAATCAAACACATTTGCTTAGAAGCAGTTGCCACTGAAGACAACAGAACTTCCTTCCAGCCAAGTATGCACAGGATCACAGTGTTCATTGTTCTCCCATAATCAGATAAGAACTATTTCCAGCCCCAGGCCATCAACTGGTTATTTCTGGCACTTGAAAGCTAAATGCTGGTATTTACCAGCCAGACCCATTAGCTCCTTTAAAAAGCCTTTCTTTATTTTGTTTCTATTCTTCCCACCCTTCTCTATTAAAAATTCACTCAGGGTGGTCCTCAAGAGAATTCAAACACAAAGTCAAACAAGGTTAAAAAACAATGAAATGGCAGAGGAAAGAGTCAGACAGTCAGTGGAAAATTTAAAACCTCTAGCTAAAAAGAGTGTTCTCTTGTGCACATGAAGATTTGTAATCTGAATGATTGGTTCTTTGTGAAGTAGTTACATTGGGCAGGAGCCTTAGTTCAGTGGTAGAATATGTGCTTTCCATGCAGAAGATCCCAGGTTCAATCTGTGGCATATCCAACTGAAAGGATCAGATGGCAGGTGTTGAGAAAGGCCTCTGCTTGGGACAGGAGACTGACACTGCTAATTAGAGTATGGAATTAGATGGATAAATAATTTTGACCTGGTACAAATGAGTTTCCTATGCTTGCTGGTCTACAAGTTTGCCCTAATATTTCATATCAATTGCTTGGTAAATCTCTTCTATTATAATCCAGTAACAGGGAAGTCAAAAAAGGATATAAAACAGCCAAAAGCCCAAGTGGCACAGTTAACGTTTCCTCTCTAATTGCTCTATGTCAAGAAAGAACCACAACTGCCCGCATTTCCTTGCCTTCAATAGAACAAAATTAGGAACTAAAATATTTCTCAGTGTTAGTCCATCACAACTGATTGATTCCCATAAAATCTATTTAATCTGAAGTCCGTCTTGTCTGCCCAAAGCAGTGAGTCTTTGAATGTTTTCTCATTTGGAAGGATGGATAATGCTAATAATAACTGGCACTTTTCTCTTTCACCACCCGTTTAGATCCCAATGGCATAATGTAAATATTAACCTAGAGCTGCTTCACACTTTACATGACAATTGTGTCTGTCACAGCTTCACTAGTGTTACACTAGAATTTCCCACAGTGAACATATGAAGTGGCAAAGGTAGGCAGGCATTTTTAAACATTCCAATAGTTACAAAAAGTCTGTGGGTCTCTGATTCAGGTCTGCTCTGTTTTTTCAGAATATGTGCTTATGCATTAAATCACATAAAGGGATGGGGAAAGTGTGGCCCATGGGGCACATGTAATTTCCCATCTCCCCCTTCCCCCCCATCTCTGATTATGAGCAGAGTTCCAACATTATATGCTTTAATAAAAAATTTTTTTTTTTGCTTATTTGTCAGTGGTGTCACTAGGGGGTGTGGGGGGGTGCAAAATGCACCAAGTGACACCCTAAAGGGGGTGACACCACTGCTCCTCAAACATCTACTATTTGGCAGAAATGGGCTGTGGCATTCACTTGCTTCCCTTTAAAATGCTTTAAGAAATGGTGGGAGTGGGATGAAGCTCAGTGGGATAAGAAAGAAAAGCGCCAGAATTTTTTAAAATCAAAATTTCAAAATTCAAAATTTTATTTTTAAAAAAAATAAATTTGAAAATTGAAAATTTGAAAATTATTTTAAAAATTTATTTAAAAACATCACATTTTAACCAAAACTTCACAATGTATATGTAAATACATTTAGATTGTGCATATGATATTATAGTTTGAAGGTATAGTTTTAATTTTGCTAGTTGTTTATGTCACAACTATTAGCAGTACATTCAGTGATATATGGTAATTACAATTTATGAGTAACATTAGTGCAAAAAAAAGCATTACTAAGTATTCTGTATGGTGTGAAATGGGAGGTCATCAATGGGGAGGTGACATTATTATTTACTGCACTAGGTGACACTAACCCTAGAGATGCCACTGCTGTTTGTTACTGCATTGCATGCAAATATCTGGAGAGATTTACACCAAATTTGCTGTATCTGTTTGAATGATGTAACCTTACATATCAAATCTGTGGTGTTCATGAAATTCACTTTGGTAGGGGCCCTGGAGAACACCCCAATTATTTTTTCATTCGTATAGGGTAGGATGTTTCATGGTCAATTGGGAACGCATGTTCTCTTGAGGGCAAGTGGGACTGGTGAGCCATGTGAGGCAAGTTTCAACATCCAAAGAGATAAGCAGTCATCATTAATAATAGTTAATGATATTCCTGATCAGTTCAGGATGGTACAACTAGTGTCATAATAAATATATTAATCTTTAAATTGCCACACATGATTGCATTCATTGATTCCCCCCCCCCCCACACACACACACAGTACTTTGCTTTGGCCATTAGAGCTATCATTTCATGTCCTGTTCCTGATCAAGGCACTGTCCCATCCCAACAAAAAAAAGTTATTGGAATACACAAAGATCCTCTTTGCTGAGACAAAGCATCTCCTTTTGGGGATTTTTTTCACAAATCCTTCTGAATTGTATCATAATGAGCCCATCCACTGCAATGGAGATCAAGGAAATGTATTCTTTTCCTTCTTCCCAGGTTCAAAGGCAGCCTATGTATTCCTTGCTCATTTGCCAGTGTCACACGCACTTTTTCCTTTCCTTCATTTGTGGCCACACCATGGACCCTTCTTGTCCCACAGCTGCCACCCCCCATGCAAAGAGCCACTCCTTTACCAACCTTCTCTTCTAAAACCCTTTGATATAACTTGTATAAGGTTTAATAGCGTGGATATTCATTCACAGTGTAGACAAGTGTTTCATAAAGTAACAACAAAAGTTTATTTACAATACAAGTAACAATGTTTCACTTTGTTTTGCTGCACTTGTTACAAATAATAATACTCTAAAACACTCCTTTCTTTAGAACACTTTCAATT